CTCAGTTTCCTTACAATTCCTGTAAAACCAGAAAGAAGGAAGCTGGAGAGTCACTGAGTCAATGGTCAGAGGTTGTAATGACATACTCCAGAAAACACTTTTCTTAAAATTCAAAGCATGAGAATTTCAAAGACAGTCTTTTCATCTGGATACCTGCCTATGCATGGAACATACTGCATTCAGGAGTATATAGTGTTACCTGGTTAGCATGACTTACCAGGGACAATGTGAACAAATTCTGCCTGGATTTTATATTCCATCTGTATGTCACTTGCTAACAGACCAGAAGACAGTGAAAATCACCTGTCAGAGCCAATGACATTTTTCAGTGATTGTGTGTGTGTGTGTGTGTGTGTGTGTGTGCGTGCATGTGTGTGTGGTGTGCAAACATGGTGTGAAGGATCAAGGAGGAACAATATATATTTCAACTAAAAAGGAAGGGAAATGACTAAGCTCAGTTTCTCCCCATGATCCACATTCTTCCATGATAAGGGTTCTCTCTGTAATAACACACTGAGCAGTGTTCTTCCCGATTTCTGCAGCCAGGAACAAAGCAGATGCTCAACAATGAAGGTTGTGGGTGGACAAGACTGTATCTCCTCTTGGTAATGAGGACTTTAATTTAGGGAAAGTATCCTGCTAGGTTGGCTATCCCACATGGTAAAGAGAATTTAACCATCTTTCACACCTGTCCATGCCCATGTTTTGTCCCCTCTACTCTAGGAAACCCCCCTCCCCTAGAACAGAATATAGAAGACCAAGGACCAAGGATTATAGAACAGTAAAATAGAAAGCTCTTCTCTGGCTCTGTGTGTGTGTGTGTGTGTGTGTGTGTGTGTGTGTGTGTGTGTGTGTGCAGCTCTCCATTATTCATGAGTAGCTCATTTTAGTTTTGAATGATCAGTGTCTCTGATATTCATTCTTCTTCTGTTTCTACCATGTTGACTTTTCATTGATCATTAATAATTGTTAGAAGAAAAAAGGAAATCCTTTAATTGATGAGGGTATCAGTCATTACTTAACTTTTCAGTGTCATGAAAAACTGCGTGGCTTTTTTGGACAGGATGATACTGATGGTTAATGTACCAAAGGGAGGCAAGAGTTAGTTTGTTGTAGTCCTCATCATCAGAGAAGGAGGTAATTAGTGAACTTCTAGGAGCCATATTAAACATCTTAGAGAAGACTTACAGAAAATAGTAATCATGAAACCTTGAATTTGCATTTTGGAAATAGATTTGAGAAAAAATTTTGACTAATAAGTAACAAGGTGAGAAGTTTTCTGTCATGGGTCTTATGTCTGGCTCCAGTATGCTGTGTGTTCTCTGTGCATGCAGAGGGATGTGTAGCTGTAGGGTAATGGCAAAATAAATCAGGTCACTTTTTCACCAAATGCTTGCTTGAGATGATCTCAGCTGTTTTATCATAGTTCAAGTTTCTTTCTTCAACTTGTTTTCTTTATTCTTGAGAATTTCTTACATATATGTAATGGAATATGGTCATGTTGAGCACCCCCTCTACTACCCTAACTTCCTCAATATCTTAATAACACAACCATGCCAGGATTCTTTCTCAGACAACAGTACTGCCCATCCCATGGTAACAGAGCAGGGATGGTCAGTGGGCTTAGATGCTTCTGTCTTCTTAAATGGGTGGTTAACGGTGAACTGGTTGATCTGTGAGGTGGTCCCACAGGGTTGGAAAGTGATTCTGAGTAAAGGTCCTTGCTGCTTAATAAGTTTGATGACTTGAGTTCAATTCTGGGGAATGGTGGAAGGAGGGAACTGATTCTCATCACTTATCCTCTGGTCTTAACACAGATGCTATGACACGTGCAGCTACCATAAATAAATAAGTGTAACACATTTTTTTATGGAGAGTCTCACAGATTTTTTGACCACTGTGTGCTTCTGTTTGGTAGAAGAGCAAGAATTTATACAAAGCCTACCTATGGTTAAGGGTTACGGTTTGAAAGAAAATGGACCCCAAGGGGAGTGGCACTATTAGGAGGTGTGGCCTTGTTGGAAGAAGTGTGTCACTGTGGGGGTGAGCTTTGAGGTCTTTTTTGTTCATGCTTCCCTCATTGTGATAACAGTTGACTTCCTGTTGCGTGCAAGATACAGGACTCTCAAATCTAGTACCATATCTCTCTGCACATTGCCATACTCCCCTTCATGATCATAATGGACTGAACTTCTGAAACTCTAAGCAAGCCCCCTCAATTAAATGTTGTCTTTATAAGAGTTGCAATGGTCATGGTGTCTCTTCATACCCTAAGACAAGGGTGTATTTGGAACATTAGCCTCTATTAGTTACAGTACTCACAACAGTATGCCAGCAGAATAGCAAGCATGATAACATGCCAACTGTCAAGAGGAAGACACAGATATGAGTTAGGGTATCAAAAGAAAGGGACAAGGAAGGGAACAACTATGTGCCACTGACTGCCTTTAAAGAAGGGAGAACTTTAGTTAGGTTTGCAAGGAATCTTAAAGGAAAAGGGAGGAAACGTAGATAAGGGGAAAGACAGATGCAATGGCCCAACTGTGGGATAGTCACGGAATTTAGGAAGAAAAAATGGATCCCCTTCTCTCAGCAGAGCAAGCGGACCATGCAAAAGGAAGGCAGAACACAGTAAGAGCATGAAGAATTTTAGTACCCCTTTGAGATAGTGGGCTCTGTAAACGCATTGTATGACTTTGAAAGTACTTACAACTTAACCTGAATTTTTTTTCTCTTTCCAAATCAGCAAAAGATGTATATTCATTTAAGAATGTGGAAATTGTTTAGAAGAAATCAGTGAACCCACTGGTGGTGACAATTCTCTGTATTCAATCCTAAAATAGACCCACAGAGAATCATAAAGCACCCGTGAGAGGTAACACCAATATCCATACACTCATCTGTTACCTCTTGCACCATAAGGGTATGAGTGACAACCATAGACATTGGAATGGAAGGAACTAGTGACAGGGATTACATCACAGGCCACATTACAGCTCATTGTTTCATAACCTGACTGTTGGTCTTCTTTCTCTTGAGCTATAGAGGCTTCAACATGGTCTCAAGTAAACATTGTATTGCTTGTCCTCACAACAACTCTGTTAAGTAGGCAAGAATTTTAAGTTATAAAGTTATTTCTGGGTTCCCAATTATCCATGCAGTTAATCCCAGCTACATATGCAGTACTCTCATTTGTATTGTCGTAAAAATTATAATGAACAGTTTGACCTTTTTTTTTTCTACGATAGTTTAAAATTCAGGACAGGTTGTTGAAATTGAAAAGAGTGGCTTATTTTAGCATTGCATTTTCCTCAGATTAAGAACCTTGGTTCCGCATCAAAATAAAAGCTCGGATGCCACGAAGAATCGTTTAGAACAAGGCTTTGCATCTTTAACACTCTTAATTACAACTGGAGAAGACGATACACTTGGCAATCCCCAGAGAACAGGCAGGTGATCTGCTACATGTGTTTATTTATCTAAAACAATTTAGCAATTTACAACCGTATCAAGTCTGGTTCTCCTGTCATGGGGCATTTTCCGGAACTCTTTAATTCGGTCTACATCCGATTTTCTTTTTGCTTCAACTTATTCTCCATGCAGGGTACTTTTGTTTTTCTTGCTTCTGAGCCAAAACTCGCCCATATCCCCTGAGTAAATGAAAAAAGAATTCGCTAAAATGCGTGCTTAAGATTCCAGTCGGCTACAGACTACCTTTATTGGTATGAAACTCAGACTCCTCTTATTAAACACTGTTAAATATTCTCTTCATTTTCAAGATAAATATGAACAGAAACACAACTAAACATGTACTGTATTAAAATCATTGATTCACAATATTTAAATTTTCAGCTAGCCTCCAATTAGCAGGCTTTCCAATATTTGAACAGAAGACCATTTTAATGTAATTACAAACACATTTTAGGCATCTAAATTTTTTGCATAATTAGTTCCCTATTAAACTATTTATGTAGCCCCTTTTCCATCAGAAACAGAGAAAGCAGAACAATTTTATTCCTTACTGTTACAATAATTAACTATGCAAGTAGAACAGCATATTAATAGAGTATAATTTGTTTACATTTAAAAGAAAATTGTGTTAGATTAGCATAGCAAAAGACTATTTCCATATCCAGGCAGTAATATGCAGGCCTAATAGCAATTTACAGTGTAGTTAAAGAATATTATTAATAAAGTAATACAGCGTAATTCTGTTTGCTCCACCATATTTCACAATGTCCTTAATTACAGCTAATTCCATCGAGACTAATTTGGGTGTTATTAAGCAGTAGACACAGGAATCTTAAATACAACCTTTGCTAATAATGAATTTTGAAGTAACCATAGAACCTGTTCTTATACATCATAGGTACAAGACAAGCACTTGTATTTCTTTCCCTGGGGTAAAATCCATAAACATCTACTTATATAATTGATATTCAAAAACAAGCTTTCTGAGATCCAAAATCTTGTTACCCAATTCATGAAAGGCTTATTACAAAAAAATACGGTTAAATGAAACTGAGAGGATGATGGTAGTTGGTGACAGTTTGGTGGGTAATCTAGAATTTTCTCAAGTGAAAATATTTACCTATGAATGCCTTAATTTTTTCAACTGAATGATAGTAGTGGCTAAACTACATGACATCCTAGTGTTGTCCTTGGAAGGAATAATAGTTTTCCCTTAGCAAATTATTTATTTTCCAAGGTTCTATTGAACCTCTCCTATTATGTCTTCAGTTAAAAAAATTCAACTGTAAATAGTGGAAACTTTGATCTAAGAAAATTCTAGATTACCAGGTCACATTGTTATCTAACTGCATTTGTAGCTTATGTCACCTTAACTATGTGTGTTCATGAAAAAGTTCTCATGGGATGACTACCATGACACTGGGTTCTGAAAGCATAGGTGCTGCCCATGCTTTGTCTTCTGTCCTTGAGGTGTCCCTTAAGCTGCTTTATCTGCTTTCCAGATGAGAAAGAGGCTGAGTCTACAGACCTGTGTAGAGTCCCTTGAGGCCACAAAACTATGAGCCCATGAGGATTCTAAGACTCAACACAGCGTTGAAGCTCAGACACTCAAGCCATGCTGTTTTAGGGAACCTTGGGTCTATTCAAAAGTAGGCTGAGTGAAGAAAGGCATGTCCTAGACTTCAGAGCCTGTTTGGTGGCACTCAGGTAATGTCATCTTCCAGTTTTGCATTAAGTGTGCATAGAGAAAGAGATAACGACTAGCACTTCCTTCTTCTCATTAATTTTTTAAGTTTAGCTTGCAACATAATGGATTTTATTATGACTCTTTCATACATATGGGCATTATCTTTGTTTTAAATAGTTTGCCATGCATGAATGAAATTTTTTTCTCTAACAACTATGAAAAAAACAGTTTGGTGCCTCCCAAAGGTGATCTTCAGATTTCTCCATGTTATCTGCATGCTACTACTATTTCTTTTCTAAATTTTATTTAATTTGTGTTAGGATATATGTGTGAGTGCACGCTCACATGTGTGTGTGTGTGTGTGTGAATGTCAGAGATCAACTTGGCAAGTCCTCTCTCTCTCTCTCTCTCTCTCTCTCTCTCTCTCTGTCTCATGAGGGTTTCAGGGATTGAACTTGGGCTGTTAGCTTTTGGGGCAGGTACCTTTACCCACCAAATAATTTTCCCAGCCTCTGTTACTATCAATTTTTAAGAAAAGTGCAATGTTAAGCATGAGTGGTATATCTCTAGCAAGTGTTGTGAACTACAGTTCTCCTTTTGTCTTTGACTGGTCAAGGATTCCCATTGATTGTCTTTAAAAAGTAGAACTATGCCACTGGCAGTATTTGGAAATGTGTGTGAAATATACAGATAAGTGTTGAGAGTCATCTCTACACTCAGATTTCACTTTTCTGCTCTATCACCAAATAGCCTTCACATTCTATAAGTTAGGATGATGTAGTCCCATTGCACAACCCTTTAGATGATGCTAAATGGCCCACCTTTCATTAGTGCACAACAATTGAATGGGAAGGGAAATGATGCAGAAGAAGATGCACCAAGACCATGCCACTAGTTTTGGGATCTAAAGAGCAAGACTGTGATTCTGCCATTGTTGGTCATGTGCTTGTGGGTTATTCACGACTTTTTGTTAGAACTTCCTGCTATGGTGGGCATGCCTCAGACCTGTGCCACAATACCAGGGCTGCCAAGTACTTGAAATGTAGCCAGAGTGTTCAAGAAGCAGAATTTAAAATTCTATCAATTTTTTAGCTTATTGAAACATAAGCAGTCATATGTGGATTACTGATAACTGACTGGAATAGTAAGCACCATGGACACAGTAATAGTAAATGCTTCAGCGTATAGCTGTGGACCTAAGAAAGAGTCCATATACAATACTAATTGCCAGCCCTAAGATCTCTCAAATATTTCATTAATAAAATGATAGCAATAAAGATGATGGCCAGTGTTCACACACAAATAACAAGATAGGAAATTCCCCACACCTACCTTGAACTTTAAAATAGCCTTTTATTTTTGTTTTCCATAGTTGTGTAGTCTATAGTTCCATGCTTTCTTGGGGGTAAATGACAGTCATTGTATACTTAATTATGTATACCAAGGAAGAATCAAGTAGATAAAAAGGCAGGGAGTCTAGGGAATTTGGTTCCAATTGTAACATTGCCATTGACTAACTGTGTAATCCTGGCTTCCCTTAAAGCTCCAGGAGCCCATTTTCTTTCTTTTTTAAAAAATTATTTTTAAAAAACAATCTTTTCTCATTTTACATACAAACTCCAGTTCCCACTCCCTCCCCTCCTCCTGCTCCCCGCACCTTCCCTCCACACCACCTCTCATCCATTCCTCAGAGAGGATAAGATTCACATGGGGAGTCAACAAAGTCTGGCATATCACTTTGAGGCAAGACAAGGTTCTTTCCCCTATATCTAGGCTGGGCAAGGTATCCCTCCAAAGAGAATGGGCTCCAAAGAACCAGTTCAACACAGCTGGTGGTCCCACAGACTGCCCAAGCCACACACTGTCATCCACATTCAAAGGGCCTAGTTTGGTAGGACCCCATTTTCTATAAACTGTGACGGTGCATTCTTTTAATAGTTTATAAGATCACAAACTCATATGCAGAACAGGGGCCACAGATGGCTTTTCATTTTCTAGATGAGGACAGTGAAGGCTAGAGAGAGTGACTTGCTCATGATAGCTTGGCTAGCTGGTGGGAGAACCAGATCTAGGAAACATGTCTCCTTGCAACTCTACTCTGACTGACAAATCAAGCGGTAGGAAAGAGTCACTCCTTAATGCCATTGAAGATAGATAACAACTGATGATCACATATCCCCACAGGATTTAATCGCAATTCTATAAAAGCTGTACAAACCGTACTGTAATTAGCTTAGCACCATGAGGTAGATTCGTTCATGGAGCACACATTCCATTAACTAGCTGCGCAGTGCAGCTTCCACATTTGTAAACAAATGGTACTGGATGAGTTGATCTCCAAGGTCCCATTCACCTCTGAATGTCTATGGATGTACCACTCCTGCACCGGATTTTTAAAAATTGCAGTTAAATGCCTCACTTTTTTATGGTAGTAGATGCTACAAATAATTGAGTAGTAAAGATACACATGTGTACATACCACATAACTTCCTCTAAAGACACTGCTGTCCATGTATATGTCCAGCCTCCTTCTAGGTTTATCCATAGTCACTAAATGTCTGGGATCTCCAGAGAGTATTGTCTTCTTTCTGGACATTTAAAGAAGGAATCTGGTGATACACATCTCTCTCTCTCTCTGTCTCTCTCTTGCTCTCTCTCTGTCTCTCTCTCTCTCTGTCTCTCTCTCCTCTCTCCCCTCTCTCTCTGAGACAGGGTTTCTCTGTGTAGCTTGTAGACCAGGCTGACCTCCAACTTACAGAGATCTGCCTGCCTCTGCCTCCCGAATGCTGGGATAAAAGATGTATGGCCCTTCCGCCTGGCTCTCCATCAATTTTTTAATTGTACACATTAAAATTTATACCATATGTACAATACCATATTCTGAGCACAAAAGGATGTATAGTGGGAAGAATCACCAAGCTAGTTTGCAAGGATTAATGGGTTTATGGGCATTTTGGACATCTATTAGCAAAACTGGGGAAAATCCTAGAAAATCCAGAGCAAGATGGTCACCCAACCAGTGTTCTCAATGAAGCTAAGCTCTGGTGCCCTTAGCAGTCACTGCCGAAATGGATTCCAGTGGGTACTCAGTAGCACAATTGACATGTTTCTCCATTTTATATGTTAAGCAAATAAACCTTTTCATTCTGAAGATGAGCACAAGACCTGTGAATTTTACATTCTCTCAGACTTAGAAGAAAAGATCAGGAGCTCAATAATAACTGAATTACTCAACGGGAATAGAATTGATATGGCAACCTCCATTTTGAGTCCAGTGAGCTGTGAGGCATGGGGAAGGTGGTAGCCACAAGAAAAACGAACCATCGCTTGATGAAATCAGCCTATCAGAGAAAAATTACTTAGTCAATTTAGAACCCCTTTGTAAAAAGGCAAGTAAATGGTCCCCAGGTGCCTTCTGCTTATGGTCACAGTGCAGAGTGGAGTGAACTAAAGGATCCTGAGTTAAGTTGACAGAGCCCAAACCAAGATGACTCAATAGTTGTCTTCTCTCTTTAATTTCTATAATTTTATGTTTGGAGATAATGGTGATGCTCTTTATTTCTGAAGGGTGAGAAGCTCATTTCTCCATCAAGTAAATTATATACATTCATTAAGATTTTCCACCTAAAATGAGTGATTCTATTTCCCTTTGAATTCTGTTTGGGAATGTTCCTGCTATTGTGAAGCATAATGACTTGCAAACTGTCCTCTCTTTTATTGAAATGACACAACATTGTATTTTCCCTTTGTAACATCATATTCAAAGAAGTGTATATTTATAAAGGAGTGATTACATTTAAGCCTCCATTCAGAGCATTGTAGAAAATACCCCAAGTAAGTAGGCTAGCCTGGGTCCTCAAGGAGCTTAAATTTAAGTGCAATAAGTGTCAGACAGCTGTAGAAACAGATACCCTGAAATAAGTGCCACCTGACAGTTCAATGCAGAAGGTATAATACAAATATCTGATGAACAGTAACAATTTGCAAGATGAAAATGGCATTTGGGATGGGTCTTAATAAGGAGTATATATGCCCATAAGCATTGAACGTTAGGTTTAAAGGATTGTGTAACAAACGTTGGACTGTATCAGCTAGTTCACAGTGAGGCTCCAACACAAGCGGGGGTGGCTTTGGGCAAGTGCAGCAGACAAGCAGTAATGAAGAACTAGTCGTTTCATTTTAGATTAGCTGCAGATTCCAGAGAAGAGCCACTTTATGTTCACACCTGTAAAGCACAGCTACCTTGCTCCTGGCTTCCACTTTACACTTAGGTTAATACTAGAAAAGAGATGACATTAGGGAAGGAAGATGAGAAAGGATGATAATGCCAACAGAAGAAGTCAGAACTGGAGCTGGGGAGAGATCCCAGTCTCAGATATCTCAGCAAAGTGCTTGCTACACATGCCTGGTGACCTGGGCTCCCTATAAAAAGCTGAGCACTATAGTTCTTGCTTGTAATTCCAATGCTGGAGGTGGTGGATACAAGAGGATCCATCCTAATTAGGATCCATCCTAAAAGATAAACGCAGGTCGTAGAAGGAGACCTTTCTCAAAAAGTAATGTTCCCGAAGACACACATAAGAACTCTGGTTGCCACATAAACACACATACATCCACACCCACCTGTACTCATGTGTGACCCAAGACATTCAGTCCTGCACACTGCATGTATGTATGCACACAAAACAAATAATAAAACGGAGAAGACACACTATGAGATGAGCGACTAAATCTTCACAGTACGGAGGGCATGTGGGAAGGGAGATCAGAGTTCATTATGAAACTAAAGCATGACAAGGGAGAGAAAGTAGGTAGTAGGAAGCCAAGGAGGTTGTGGGAAAAAGCACAGTTAGAATCTCTTAAAAATGTATTTCTGTTGCATTATTTAATATTACTTCTTTCCAGTGAATTTTTCTATCTGACGTTATTTCATCTTCAGTTAAAATTGAAGAAAAAAATAAAACACCTGGAGAAAAGGTAGGGATGATGGTTGGGGGAAAGTATGAGAAGTACTTTAGATACTTGTGTGAAACTGTCACAAGAAAAACATTACAATATATAGTAACAAAAGTTTATGAGAACAAAATTCTTAGCAGTTTCTCAACCCCTTGAATGAAGGGCTCACCTATAGTTCCTCCTTCATAGCCTGGCAAACACTCAGGGATGCAAGGCAAGTGGAGTTAATATTTGATTAATATGATGTGTATTGTACTCATATGTATTAATAGAGTCAGTCAATTTTAATTTAACATTTGGCAAAATACCAAACAGCCTTGCAGAATGCCTGTCAGGACAGCACACATGGAGTCTACTACTCTGATAGTGGGTATTATATTCTCAGTATTGGGTGGATGGGGAGAATGGCTATTTGGAGGTGCTTTCAGTGGGCAAACATCAGACTCATTGACTACAGGGCTATCCCAAGCGAATGGTACTGGGATAAAACAAACAAACAAACAAAGTACTTCTAATTCAGATCAAATGAGAAGGATTTCAAGAGTCTGGGAATACTAACACAAAAGCATCACTGGATGCAAGCAGGGACCATTCCCTGACTGCCGTTATTAGGTTGAAATCTTATCAGGTACCACACTGGCAGGAGATCCAACAGCTCCCAATCCCACCTAATCAAATTAGGAGGTGTTTGTCATTCTTTCCCCAGCTAGCAGGAAATTAAGTTTCACTGAAGCACTTGGGGCAGGCCCTGTCTATCTAAGAGGAACCTCCTTGGGAGATAGGCTTGTAGGATTCAGTTGCTCTGGTTCTTTGCATTCGAATTACTTTTCTCAGGTAGAAGGCATGTCTAAGGTGACTTTAATATTTTACACAGCTGTTCCAATCTCAACATCAGCATCCTTGTGAATCACGTGGTGACATCAGAGGAGTCTCATCCCATACTGGTGGAGAACCTGCACGAAAACGGTTTGAATTCTTTTTGTAGTAATCAACAATTTTGTGCTGTTCTAACTGAAAAGCTCTCCAGCTATGATAGACTGCAGTCTGATGTTGAGCAGAAGGACAAATAGGGTTGTTCTCTCAAGCAATGGCTTCCTACAAATGTGTTTCCACAATTATTCTTTGGTTTGCTCTCACTGATTTGTTGTCAGCTGTTGTCCAGGCCATGCATAGCTCTGGCCCATTTTTTTCTCTCTCTCTGCTGTTGAGACAAGAGCATTCCTCCAAGACAGTTTCAACAGGGTAGGTAAAGTGTGCTGCAATTCCCTCCTGGCATAAAAGGATCAATCAGTTTTCCTTCTAAACCTCAGCTGTCTCTTGTTGGTCAGAGATATGATATTGTCATCTGAACAGGCCAAAATGAGTAAACAGCCACCATTAGGCCCAAGAAATAGCGAATCACTTGCTTGCCTATTTCCATTCTCCCACTTTTTAATAAAATTGAACATTCATGGGGGCTGGAGCCATGGCTTAGAGGTTAAGAGCTCTGGCTATTCTTCCAGAGGACCCAGGTTTGATTTCCAGCACCCAAAGGGCAACTAACAACTGCCTCTAATGATAGTTCCAGGGGATCCAATGCACCCTTCTGGCCTTTTTCAACACTGGGTATACATGTGGGGCACAGACACACATGCAGACCCATATACATAAAAATAAAGATAAATAAATCTTTTAAAAATTTGTAAAAATTAGATGTTTTTCCTAACCTTCCCAAATATCAGCAGCTCTCTCCACCAATCATACATTATCCAATTCTTTTGTTTATTCTATAAGAAAGATATTACATGAGCATTGGCTCTAATCTTAGAATTAATACCAAGTCTAATGACGTTAAGTCCTACATCAACACAAATATTTTCAATTTGGCAATTGTGATTTATTCCAGAAACATCAGTACTGAGCATTTTCTTGCTTCTTTCCATAAACCCAAGTTCCTGAAACAGAAGAAATTGTTATTAGACAGTCCATATATGAAAAGCTCCTAAGTATTTGAAACCCTACCAACCTGAGGAGGAATAGGACATCTGCACTTTCTATTTCACTACTTTTTTTACACTCAGTTCTTCAGTGCATACAAAGTTGCCTAGTCAAATGCAATCTTTGTATTTCCAAATACATTCCAACAGCTTGTTACCGTGTGTCACCGTTTTCATCGGGGCCCTTAGAGTCTTGCTTTCTTTTCGTGGGAGACACATTTCACATTCATAAACCATTGCATGTCGCTCATTTAACCCTGTTTCCATACTCTTCTCCAAATACATTTCTGGGTGACCCCGCAAGTCAGCACTAGGGCATTGTACAGTAAATAGACTGTTTTGCTTCGTAAATCAAGCATACAAACTTATAGCCAACTTCAGCATAAAAAAAGTCCCTGAAATAATATGACCCAGCTGCAGGAGATGGGCATTGTATTCATAAAGCTAGCTTTAAATTACTGACATTTAAATCCAGACTTGACAAAGCTGAGACCATTTTGAAGGACTCTGAGTAATCCTCATGAAATTCCAAGTTCCTCTTTTGTTGTTTTTGAAGGAGATTCACTTTTAAAGGGAAAGAGGCTTAGATTTTGTCTTTTGATGGTATCAGAGAGGTGCATAGGGCAGGAAGGCCACTTAATTATTCCAGTCACTTTGCAAGTCATTTCTGGTTTTCATTGGGGATGTGCTCTCTGGGGTGTATCTCTCCTATTTTATTGCACCAATCAGCAGTAAAATGCAAAGGTGATCTGGAAAATTCAGGTTTGGATTTCTTTCTCCATCTAAATCAAATTGACCACTGAAGTCTTGCCGAGCGTGTCTAAAGTTAGAAACTAATTTTATTTCCAGCAGCAATTTGTAATTCTTTTTTTTTGAAACATAAAAGAAGGAAAGAAACCGGAAGTCTTTGCCACTCAGCATTTGGCCAGACTTCCAGGTGTCCACTGCCTTTTCTTCCTCTTCCTTTTAAGTAGCAACTTTAGCATCCCGACCTTAACAACATCCCAGAAGGATTCATATTTCCAGCCCCCCCATCACACTTCTAAAATCCCCTTTAAAGATGACCCCCAGTCATGAGACAACCATCTACACAAATCTGCTGAGTCCAGAATCTCCTTCACCCACACAGTTTCCTGAAATAAAATGATGTTACCTTTCCATTAAACATAATTTCCTTCACCTCTCAAAGAATCTGTTTTATTTTGTTGTCATTGTTTTAGAGCATGAAACTAAGTGCTTAAAAAATGTAATTACAAGAATATAAGAATGAGTGTGATAGGAAAACTAGTCTTTATTTGAACTTCCATCTAAGTGAATTGAAATATATTGCCATTTTATTAGAAGCATTTATCTGAGAAGAATAAAATGAACTAAACTAGATAAAATGTTTTTCTTCTTACTTTTAAAAAATTAGTGTCCTTACTTACAGGTAATTTCCTTGTTTACTCAAGATGGAAGAATCTACTGATATAAATTGTCTTCTGGAGTTCAGTTACTTTGATGGGATGTAACTAGATCTTCAAATTAACCTCAGTTAACACGAATGAACTAAAAAAAATGTTCAAAAATTTATGTAGTTCAAAATTTGTCAGATTTGTTGAAATGAATAATGTGTTTGGATTTTTGGAAGACCTTTACAAATTTTGAGCCTCCTGCAGCTCCATTTGGTGTAAAGAATTATACTATAAACAAGGGGCTCCATCTGTACTTTTGAAATAACTATTCAGTTTTCCATTTCAGTGCTCAGACAAAGTGACACGACAAACTGCAACGCAGAAGTCAGTGTTCAGAGAAGTTAAAGTGTAAACATTTAGCCAATTCATCTGCTCAGAGTGAGACGGATGGGCTGCACAGGAGCCCACAATTCTAAATGAAGGTTCTAGATCATCCAGGGGTGAGGGGAGGAGAGGTAGAAGTGAGGGGTCTTTCTGATCACCTCCAAAATCTCATCTGAGATATCTGTCCACTCAGCATTACAGGTGATCTGCAACGCTCTGCTATACATCATAGCAAGGCAAATAACTGTGTTCAGTACTTCATTTACTAACTTTGGATTTTTCTGCCTGTCCTTTTTTTCTTTCCCTCTCAGAACTTCCGGTCACTTACTGGGTTCCATATTTGGCAAAGAAGATGAGAAATCATATTTCCAAAAAAGGGACTGAGGTGATAACAGCTCTTGGAAATCCCCTTGATAGAACTCAGCAAGGCACGTTGTAGAATGCGGGTTGAGTCATATTATTTTTCAATTCAGCTCGACAGGAAATTACAGATCGCCAATGCACAAGGTTTTACGATCAGTGTTCTGTGATCTGCATGGAGCAGAAGTTGTCACTGTAAGGTGAAATTTAGGTATAAATGAATGGGGACGACAGGGAGCTAATAAGTCCAGGCTCTCCCATAGCATTTGGTATATGTCCTCCTCTTAGTGTCCAAATCGGCTTTCACTAATACTTTCTAGTTGAGACCTGTGGGAGGGCCGTGGTCTGATCTCTGTTCCTTTCATGCTGCCCAGGGTAAATTATGCCCAGCTAGGTTTGCGGTTTCACTGGGTCTACATGATGCCTTGCAATCCTTATGCAAGACACTCCCAGGCTCCAGCCTTTGCATCAATGCATTGTTTTTCTCTCCCATTCTTTGCTCAATCTCTCATGTCTGTCCTAACACAAAAGTCTTCCTGAGGCATCTGTGCCTGCAAGTGAGTCTGTGCTCTCTCCCTGTCTTCCTGTAGCACATGTGACCTTTGGCATGAGTGTGGAACACACCACACACACAGCCCAGCATCCTTGACTAGCCTGAAATTTGTGTATTTTCTCTCCAGCAAAGACATGTGTTCTTGGGATCTTTAATGCCTTTTTGTCCCCTTTAGCCTGTCTGAAAGCATAGTAGGCTGTCAAGGATATTTGACTTAGCAGTGATTTATTGAACAGACATCTAGAAAATGGATGAGTTGACATGCTACATTCTCATGACATCAACCTTAGGTAAGATCATTTCAGTGGCTGACTGAAAACAGTTTTATTTTATTTAATGATGAAAGCTACCATCAAACCTCTGAGATGTGGATTGCAATATAATTCCTTAAATTTAATCAAGTTTATTTGTTACAGATATTCTATTAACATTCAGATTATCACTGTCTTTCTCATGGGGCCATTGTAGTTGTGACCCCAGTTTGTGTTTTTCTATTTTTGGAAACTCATCATTTTAATAAACCCTTTAGCAGTGGGATTATCTCCACTCAGTATTCAGAGAGAGAGAGAGAGAGAGAGAGAGAGAGAGAGAGAGAGAGAGAGAGAGAGAGAGAGAGAGAGAGAGAGAGCGCAAGGAAACTCAGGTTGAGGGCAAAGGAATACAAACTACACTCACTGATGTTTGCCTTTTTGTGACAGCCCGAAAGTGTAGATACAATTTCCTGTGTGCATGAGAAAAAAGTCATTGGGAGATGTTATAGTAACTGTTCAAGGTCACTCAGAGATATCCTAAGACTTGTTGTTTCTTCTTTCTATTCTCTTGTCAGTTGCCTCCTTGTAGTGAGAAAGCATCAGTTTTTCCAGTAGCTGGATCAACATTTTGCATATTCCTACTAGTTATAATTGAAACAACACCAGCCCCTTTCCCCTGTGTAATGCATTGCTATTTTTTGCAGATTGGGGGAGCCTGGAGGGGTTCTAATAGTGGATACCTGGTTGTATTTGTCTGATGGATGAACACTTAGGCCAGAAGCCCTCACAGGCTTTTTCACCTATGTTTTGCCCCTTGACTAGATTTGTAGTTCGTGTTGAGGAAGTTGACAGGTCCCTTGAATCTTTTTCCAATACTTTTAAGTTTAAAGGCATGGCTGATTAGTATCTTGAGGCTCATGATGTTTATTGCGGAAAAGCATGCCTACAAAATGTGAGTGATTACACCAGAGGTACACCTTGGTGTCTGTGTTATGTTGAATTATCAGTATTTATCCATGAGACCTCTGTGGTCAATGGGGTCTGGTTTGGTTGGTGGTCATTTGTGATTTCTTGTGTGTTTGATGATGTGTTTCTTTCATAGTTGCTAGTTTTGATTCAACTTCTCCTTTTCTGTCTTTTCTCCTTTGATCTGATGTTTACAAAGCCAGCTTTGTAATTTAGCAGTTCTTTCGATGGCCTGTCAGCTTCACTGGAACTCTGGCAGTAGTCTAAGATGCCCAGCAAAGGTTTTTATCGTTTTGTGTGCCACTCTGGCCTTAATGGAATAAGGCCTAATCTTCTGCCCAGAATGTGGTCTGGTCTTCTGATTTTAACTAATACAACGTGAAAGAAATGATGTGGTATTAGCCTTGAGCCTGGAAGCAAGGAGCCCTAATAGGCTTGGCAGCTCCAGTTCTTGTATTTGGAGCCATGTCTACGTAAAAGCCCAACTCTCTTGAGACCACCACTGTGTAAGGAAACCCAAGCAGACTACTTGAAGAGAATTTGTAGGAAGAGCCACTCAGCCAGCCTACAGCTACTTCAGCCATCACAGCTGAGGTACCAGATGGGTGAAGGAAGAAGCCATTTTGGATCTCTCAACAGAAAACGCCATGTTGAGCAAAATAACCATTTAGCTCAGGCTTACCTAGTTAAAAAAATTAATAAAAAGCAATTTGCTCTTCTTGACTTAAACCATTGACTTACCATGTATTTTGTTATGCAGGTAACTGAAAGAGTTGCTTAAATATTATATTCTACTATGATCCACTATGGTATTGGACAAATATTATTGTTCATATGCAATTAAAATTAAAAATATGAAAACAGTGCTGAAAATAAATAAGTTCAGTAAAAATACTGAAAACAGTGTCATGGGCAATATATGAAGTGCTCCATATCATTGTGTGGGACAGACTTCCACTAGAACAGGAGGTTTAAGTGTTGGATCCTGGTAATTCCTCCAATTTTCTATAGCCATATGTTAGTTATTTATCAAAATGTCAATTCTAGTCAGTAGATCCTGAAGTGTAGAAGGTTCCTGTAGAGTAGCAGTAGAGCTGTCCTAGGACACAACCAGGGACCAGGCTACCCAGTCAGATGCCAGGCCATGATGGTTGCCATTATCTTATAGGCATTGAAGAGTCTTGGAAATCTGTTGAAAACAAGGCAAATGGGCAAATATGTTCTTTGGGGAAGTCACTCTCCTGCAACATGAGTTCAGCTAGGCTGAGGCCTTCTCTCAAACTTATCAGTCATTCGTTATGCCAAGAGTCATTTATTTTCAGATGTTTTATGTTTTGTTCATTGTGCTTTTACCTCAACTTTCTGGAGGGGAAACAAAGTACAATCAAATAAATTCTTCTTATGCTAAGGAATGATTTAGCCTTCATTGTGGTAATTTATTGTACCTTAATTTAAAAGAGTTGGAATCCAACATAACACAAAGCATAGTGCCATTTACAATATGTGTTTTAAAGTATCACTGTCAAGGGTATATTTACATGCTTCCTCCCTGTGCCACTAATAATAAAGTTTTACTCATTTTAATAAATTCTTGTAGTTTTGACTCCTGAACAAAACGTTCTTTTGACTCAAAACATTGTAAAGTCACCCAAACACATTGCAACTCTTCTATACCCTCCTGTTAGTATCTAAGTCCTTGCTCCTCAAATTGAAAAATAAACCTTTAAGAACCACTTTTTGCTAAAATATGTCCCATATAACTAGTTTGGGGGTTCTTAAAAGGAAGGAAAAATAGAAAGTATTTGACTTGAAAAATATCACCCATCTTGGTAACTTGCTCTGACAGTAAAATACTGGAAACTCTCTCCCTCTCTCTTCCTCTCTTTGTGTATGAGTATATATGTCTTCACTTATGGTTATATGTATGTTTGTCTGCAATGGATTATCTTCTCAACAGTTAAGAACAAGTTCGGTTTGCAGAAAACTCTAGAAGTTTCCAAGACCGACATGGAAGTACCCAACTTCTCCTACCTGTCATGCTAGTCTTGGTTTTTTGTCTTATGTGTAGTTATACTCAATGCCTTCATTCTTTCCATCTACCCAACAATTAATCCATAAGAAACACATGACATATATTTATTATATTTAGTTCACTGGCACGCCTAAGTTAAATGAGAAGATAACTCAGATGTGATTTCATTTGAACAACCTTTTTAGAGGAACAGAGATTATCTTATTGCAGGAGGAATGGTCCCATGGGCAGTCCCTGGAGTTCTCCCTAACTCACCCGATTGCTCTTAGATGGACATGACATTGAAAAGGGTAGAATAGTTTCCTGTTTGTTCCTAGACTCACTGAACCTTGTCATTATTTACTTTGCAATGTCTTCCACTTTCTCTTCAATATGGTTTTCTACATCTTGGATTTCAGATACCTGTCATCTGTCTGTTAACTCACCTATCACCTATATCAAAATCTCTAGGGGCATTTCATAGTATGAAAAAAAAAGTCTGTGTTAAAAGTGGGCTACACATAGATTTGCAGACAAAATACTCCTTTTGCTGTGCTGTATTTACCCAGTTTGTATTATTAGAACAAAGAATCAGGCATAGACTACTAACAGAGATTTAATTTGGCTCACATTTCTGAAGGATCAGGCAGACTTTTGGTTAGGAGAGCTGATGAGAGAGACACCTCGTGGTAAGAACATATGAAAGCAAGTGCTTACATTTTGAGGCAGTAAAAAGAGAAAGAAAGGAGAGTACAGTTTCCTACTGTCCCATTCAAAGAAACACACCCAGTGATCTGGCAAGGTCCCACGTGGTCACATTTCTGAAATGTTTTACAACTTCCCAAAAGTACCAACATGAGGACCATGCCTTTAATCCCACACCACTGGGGACACTCATTCAAATGATAGCAAATACATTGTAACTCACATTGACCTTAAATATTCCATGGGGAGATCAATACATTTGAGCCATTTGAATGTGGACATAAAGCTGTCTTATTAACAGATGATGGTTGATGAGCTGCATGCCAGCCACCATGCTAAGAGCATCATCAGTCCCACCATCTCATGTAATCCTCTTATCAAACACATAGGGTGGAAATCATTGTCAGCTACATGGTTCAAATGTGGGAATTGCTATTTGCTAATATATTTAAATTCACTCAGCTAAAAGAGGACTCCACTGGAACTCAACCCTATGCTGTGTGGTTTGGGATTTCTTTCTTAGACATACTGTCTCCTAGATTCAATAACACACACACACAAACACACACACACACACACACACACACACATACACACACACACACACACACCAAAGAATAAACAAAACAAACAAATAAGCAAAAAAAATTACTCA